TTCGTTTATGCGTAAAGAAATTTATAGGAAAGGAAATTGAAATTGACAGGAAGGTAGTTATGTAGTTTTCTTAGAAGGAAGATTCGTTTCTTGCTATTGTTTCTTCGGAAAAATTCTAGGATTGTGTTCCGCGTGATCGATGATAGGTCGATAATAGATCTATATTATTTTACGAGTTATTTACAGTACCTCATGCTACATTGCGTAATAAATGACGGAGATAGACACGATATAATATCGCGTTAGGAAGAAGGCAGAAGGGGGAGAAAGGAGAGAAGAGTTACGACCGCCTTTGTGCATCGGATATTTCAAGCGTTTCTTACAAAGCGATTCTTCTCAATTATGCCTTTCGATTCCTTTGAATATTCCGTCCCTCAGTTTAACGTCGCGAGAAATGGAGGCAGAAGAAAAGAGTTTTATGCTAAACGCAAGTCATTTCGAAAAGCTCGTACTTCGCAAGTACATAACGCACTCGGGATAAAAATTGTAGCGTCCAATTTCGCATCCTGCGACTCGATTTCGCTTAAAAAAACTGCTCACGTAACGAGCGACTTAAGATTCCTAATCTACTAATATCAACGTGTTTGCGATCGCTTCAAGGACAAGCGCTCGTAAAGAAAAAAAAATGGGATAATCACTGCCGAGGCGCAGTGCCGTTATAATCGTTAATCCCGTACCGTTTGACGGATGTCCTTGACGGGAGAAAACTGTACTTCGGGCTCGGCGACCCGTAATTACTTCGGGAACGTGTTCGAGAAGTACGATCACGTATCTACGCGCGCGATATTTCCGATACACGCGACACCCTCCGCGCGCGATCCGCGTGTCGGGGGGGGCCCGTCGTCGCGCCGCTCCCGATACACGCGATTGTTGTTGTGTCGATCGTGTTACGAGACGACCTAAACTTTCCTTGGATATGACTCAGCTTGCGCTATATCTGCGCAAATCATTTCCTCTCTGTAATAACACACGCAATGAAGGCGCGCGCGATAAGCGAGGTAATCGGAGCGATGATGGCATGAAGGAAGGTAGGATGAAATTTATAGCGTCGCGCTCTTTACAAGTGGATCGGCACGTTGAAATTTTCTCGTTATTCCTCTTCAGCGATATATTAATTATCTTATTATTCCATTTTGTACAATTCATCCATATGTCGATGACTCACGTATTTACATATCGTGATAACGAAAATCTCGTATCGACACTCATTATAAGATTATAAATACGTGATATATTGGAGTGATGACATTTAGACATTGTTACATGATTTTTCGTAAAATAAAACCTTTCTCTTATCTCTGATTTAAATATCTAGATTTATTTAAGTACAATGTAAGAGCGATTTACGTGGACATAAATGCATGATTAGAAAGTTTTCAGTAGTATATTAGCGTACGGCGAGTGTCTAATAGAATCAACTACGAATTGCGTGGCAATTTCTATTCCGGATTACATTACCATTCGCACCATGAACGTGACTTCGTGATCCGCGCTCGGCGATTGCTAAACCTCCGGTCTCCCCCCCCCCCTCTCTCTCCCTGGCGATATATTTCCCCTAGTGATGAGAGGAGCAGCGAAAAAAAATCTCTTCGTAGGCAGTAAATAGCCGGGTGTGTATACCCACTCGAACGGGTGCGAAGGAGACGGCGAAAAAGCGCGCGTCTCGCGTGAGAAGTTAATCGGGCGCGCGGGTTGGGAGTTCAAGCAGGAGAGAAAGTCAACGAACCAATGGCGAGCGGCACTTGATTGACTCTGAATGGCACGTCGCTTTTATTACGTGCAATCGGTCATAATCCGTCTCTCCGTTCCTCCCGCTCGCTCGCTCGCTCGCTCGCCGCCGTCGTCGGCTCGCCGCTCGCAGTCGTCGTCCTACATCGCCGCGCGACCCGCATACCCCCCGGCGGCGTGGCGTGCTCAAGTATAATACCGAGGCACCGCACGTCGCGCGGTTTACTCGCGAGTATTTGAAGCACCGGATAATACGAGACAAGTGAAATTGTTATATCCCTGTCGTTCGCCAAACCGGCCGGGATATTGTCATTCGATGAACGCGCGCGAAGTCCGTGCCTCGGTGAATGGCGAGGGGGGGAGGGGGAGGGACGGGGGATATATACAGGAATATTTATAGAGTGTCGCAAGAAGACGTAACGTTTCGCATGAAAGTTGCGTGATTATAATTCATCCGCGCGCGCGAACTCGCGCGCCGGTGACAAGGAATGTAAACAGGCTTCCTATTATGCCCGGGTGCAAAGCTCCCGTGCGTGTGCCTCTTTTTTTCTCTCTCCCCCCCCCCCTCCCTCTCTCTATCTCTTTCTCTCCTACCTTTCCGTAGATAAGCGCCTGTATAAAGTCGGCTTACAGATAAGCGACGCGTGTGATGCAATGCGACGGTTTGGTATCCGCGCGATTAGATGTATATACCGGCGTGATGTTGGCGCGCTACGTTACGTTTGCCGAGCACTTTTAAACGAGGACCTTGCCGGCTTTTGTGCACGACGTCGCCCTCGTTACATCTTCTTTTTGTAAGGACGCGACGCGTCGCGCATAAAACGTGCGCGCGAGTCGATGACGCGAGCATCGAGGTAAACAGAATGTGGGTTGACATTTACTTCGCGTCTCTCCATTAGCATAGCAAACCTTCTTCTCACAAGTCTATAATTTGATTCGCGGTTTAGCGGAGAGCTCCCGCTCCCGGTCTCGTAAAAAATTCTGTCATCCCGCAAGGACGGCGACGTCTTTCTTTTTTACGACGAAAGGCCTTTCTTTTCTCGACACATGGCCTTGATCTCGCCTCGACTTGAGAACAAAAAATACGTAGCGTGTGCTCTATTTTGAAGGAAAAATTTTACCTATCATGTTGAACATTTTTTTATGAAACTAGGTCGATAGCGAAAATTATAAAAGTATTTGCAAATCAACGTGAAAATCTCCTTTGGAATTGGAGAAACTTTTTAAGGATTAACCTATCTCTTTATTATTCATTTCGTAATCGAAGGATAGAATATAAGTTTCTTCATTCCTTTTGTAAGTGAATTTTAATAACTTCGCCTATATTTTATTCGAGAGTGAATTGGCGCGTTTGAAATAATCGCTTTATTTACGATCGCAGAGAGGCAAAAGCTTGGATAGGTTTGGCAAATCATCAACTCTCCGGGGAGAAATTTCAACGCGCCCGTAACGCGCGAGTTTCAGGGAGGTGTTGCAGCCTGCAACTTCGGTGATGACTGACGTATTTACCCGAGATTTCGAATCCCGGGGAAAACAGGAAAACAATATTTACCATCGCCCCCTTTGCTTCGTTACTTGCCGGTTACTTGATTACATTAATTTACAACCTTCCAGTCGCTCCAGAAACGAGTTTCTCGACGGAGTTTAATCGACGAGCGTCGGCAACGAGCGGAAGCTGTTTGTTTGATCCTCTCCCGGGGAAATTACTTAGTTATACGTCGAAGTTTGTCCGGTAACTTCGCGAGGAGTTATTTTCGAGGCCTCTTACGGCGCCGGGGTGGCATTAACGAAGTCAGTCGGTCCGAACGCAATCTCGCGCGACGTTAATCATACGAATCTCTCGCGCCTCTTTTTCTTACTCTTGCAGGGTACTCGGACGTCGCTCCAATTCACTTTTCTCGGACTCCGGCTTCTCTTGCAGAGACCTCATCTGTGTTTTTCGCACAGGCCTCTCTCTCTCTCTCTCTCTCTCTC